TAAACTTTCTCAAGTCCGGACCCAAACGATTATTATTATTATTTTTTTTTTATTGCATATACAGGAAAGAAAATCTGGGTTTGTTGTTGTCGATGCAAACAAATTATGTAAGCACGGTTTGACGTTGTAATGGCAGTTTTTGTAATTATAACAATCGTTTGAACGTCCTACTTTCGCGCGATGACATTATAAACGTGTTTTTTAATATTAATAATAATAATAATATTAATAATAATAATAATAATAATAATAATAATAATAATAATAATGATAATAATAACATAAGAAAAAATAATTTAATATAAACATCGACTCCGACTCGGATTGAATTTAAATATAAGCTGACATCTATCGGATAAATATCGCACTCTCTTATTTCATAAGATTAGTTTATTTTTTCACCGATAGGTGCGGTAGTCGCGGCCTTCAAAAACGTCATCTTTTATTTATTTACAATCGGGGAAAATTTCGGCCGTTGGAAATCACACATATATCAATATGGCCGGGAATATTTAAAATTTATTTTCAAAAAAAAAAAAAAATTAAAATTATTACACCCTCCAGTAATAAAAATTATTATGGTTTTACATTAACGACACGATAACTCTTAAATGACTTTCATATTAATTTACCGTAATAAAATTCTACCGCACACTAGAAAAGGCAGAGAGAGAGAGAGAGAGAGAGAGAAAAATTTGATTTGTTTTTACGTAATGGTTCATAAGCCCACAATCTATGACGAAATCGCATTTCCATTCGTCCCCCTCCCTCCCTCCCTCCCTCCCCATAAATTTTCATTATGCGAATTTTTCATTCGGAGCAGTAGCAGTAGGCGACAAAAGCCGGAAACAAATGAAATATTTTAAATATAAGCAGGAGCAGTTTGTTTGTTTGTTTGTTTGTTTGTTTTGTAAAACCCACGCCACACGTTTTCCACCTAAATGCATGACGACGACGATGACGATGATAATAGGTTATCTCGGACGGCCATTTAATGATAAATTATTTATAAAAAAAAAAATTCGCCGCATTTGTGCCACGACCATCATCATCACCATCGCCATCTTCTTTGTCGTGCCTTATTTAGCACGCGATTGATAATTAATTAATTTCCCTTTGTTTTAATTTAGAAATGATAACATCCATATCGACTATTGCGACGCAAATAATGATATTATTAACTTTAAACAAAATAAAATGGCGTCCAAAAAAAATATAAAAAAAACCAAACAATGTCATTTTCGAAAAAAATCGTCACGCCAATTCGTAATCGAATAATAAATCATCATCATCATCATCATCATCATCATCATCACCGAACTTATCCGCCGAAATTTATTTTTTTCGAAAGTTTCTGGAAATTTTTGTTTTTTTTTTTTTTTAATCGAGAAAATATCGAACGAGTTACGATATACGAGAATCGAACCCACACATATCGATGACCGGAACTATTATCGTAAGTCACACCCTAAAAAAACGAATGTTTTTTTACTCATTTAACCAATTCGTTAAAGTAAATAATAATGATAATAATAATAATCTATTTTAAATTTTTTTATTTTATCCTTCGGCCATATTTAAGAAAAATACGTGACCGAACGAGATTGTTATTGTGTGCGATGCGAGTGCATATGCGAGATGCGAGTGTGTATGTGCGTGTTTCTTTTTTTTTTCCTCACCTAGAATCCATCACGCAAAAAATCACGTGAAAGAAAAACGTAGGTGAAAAATTATTATTATTATTATTATTATTTTTTTTAAAAATGGTCAATCTAGTAAACACTTTTCACGAGTCAAAAAAAAAAAAAACCTACGACGATTGTGTCATATGGTAAAGTCAACCCCAGGTTTTCTCTCTCTCTCCATCTTTTTCATTCTAATGGAAAATATTTTCGATTGAAACTTACTCACTCACTCATTAACAACCTACTATTATTATTTTTTTTTTTTTCTCTCTCGTCGACGACATATTTGGATACCCGATAAATAAATAAAAAAATTGAATTTTAAATGTCACGCCCCAAAAAAAAAAAACTATAAACATTTTTAAAATAGACGGTCACCAAAACGTGACGAAACAAATCGCCAAGTTTAAAAAGACCAGAATGAGAGATTTGAAAAACGTCAACAAAAATTTCCCTCGTTCGAACCCGTAAAAAAAAAAAAAAAAAAAAACGATTTTGAGTAATAATAATAATAATAATAACGAATTTTAATTCAGTCAACTTTTCCAGGAATTTTTATGCAAATCTTTACGAAAAATGTCGACGACTCTTGTGCGACAAAATTAAACGACTTCGAATGGCGACAAAAACGACGATAAGGCACGTTTTCTCACTTTTTTTTTCCTCTCTAAATTCTCCCCCCGGAAGGGAGGGGGAATAGAAAATTAATTTTAAAATTTCGACAAAAATAAGAGGGAAATTTTTCGCCTTAAAAAAAAAAAAAAATTTCCCTCGGAATACTTTTACGTGCACCTTTTTTTCTTGCATATTGTAAACATTCGACAATTCTGTTTGTCTTTGTTATTTTCCTCTCTCGATGCTTACAAAAAAAAAAAATGATTACGATGACGTCATGAATACAGTGCAACATATTAAATAGCTTTGGTGTTAACATAAAAAAACAAAAACAAACAGCAGCAGCGTACTGTCGTGATTGTCTTACCCCAAAAGGGAGTAACTTCGACGTCGACGAATAGAAACATAAAACCTGAGAATGAAAAAAAAAAAAAAAAAAGAAAGAAAAAGAAAGAAAAGAAAAGAAAAGAAAAAAGAATAAAAAAAAAAAAAAACGAATCGATTGTGAGCGCGAAAAAGTAATTAGTCAAAAAACCGTCACGCACGCTCCTTCTTCTCCATCTTTAATTTTTTTTTTAAATACAATTTTAATGATTTCAAAAATTTAATAAAAAAACAAACAAACAAAACAAAAACAAAGTAACAAACAACCTTCAAAATACGCAAACAAAATTAAATATTTGTGGGAGTATTTTATACGTCAATAAAAATTAATAAAATTGAATATATTTCGAACGAAACAAACAAACAAAAAAAAAAAAAACGTGGAACTAGAAAACTGTAGATTTGCATAGAGAAAAATAAAAAACGCAGCGCGACGACAATTTCAAAGTTCCAACAAACAATTTCATACAATTTTTAATTAATAAAAAGTTATGACAAAGTAACAAACAAACGAAACAAACGGATCCCCAAAGTGTACGTTTGAACATATCGTCACTCATATCGAAATTTGTTGTTTGTTTTTTTTTTCTTGTCATTTAAGGAGGTCAACCCCACACATTTGATAATAATAATGATAATAATAATAATAATAATTAATATGCGAAACGTTGCGAAACTCGACGAATATGTAAAGTAATAAAAGTATAAAAGGGGAAAGAAAAAAAATGTGTAAAACCGGTACTGGAAACAAAAAAAAAAAAAAAATTACCCGATTCGATTTAACATCAACAACAACAACAACCATTTCGGTTGATAATCGAACAAACAACAATTTATCGAATCCACGTTTTTTCCTTTCTTTCATTCTTTCCTTTTTTTTTTGTACTATAAACCGTAATTACCGTTTGAAAGATCGAAACGCCGTGATTTCAAATTTAAAAAAAAAAAAAAAAAAAAAAAAACAAAATGGCGGAAATAAAATTTGATTCGGGAGATTTGAATCGCGGAAACGTGGCTAAAGAATCAAAGGAAGGAAGGTAAAGAGGGAGATGGGAGGAGGAGGGGGGATAAAACGACTTTTCGCGGTCTCATTTCATTAAAAAAATTTTTTTTTTTCATTTCTCTTTTTGTACGCGAATAAAATAAATTTTTTTTTAAAAAAACAAATAAAAAAACCGCAAAATTCCATTTAAAAAAATCCGCCGCCATTTTTTTTTCGAACGATTTCTATTATCGGGATCGTGAAACGTTATTTATCGTTTTTTAAACACCTTCTCGAAGTAAAAAGGCATTTTTCATCAAAACCTTCGATTCGACCGCTAAATCCCCTTAAAGTCACTCATCGTTAACCTCGCTATCTTCTCCCACGCACACCCAACCCATCCGTCAACGACATACAACAACAACAACAACAAACAGCGGAGGATGAGTTCTTATACAATGCCAAGGATAAATTAAGGACGACGGAAAGGAAGGACGTTCGCATTTTCAAGGTTCTCTCTCCTACTATTTCGCTTCCATTTTTACAGAAAAAAACAAGAGTGGGCATCCACCATCCACCTGCTATTATTACTTTAATCATCTTTTAATTAAAATTACGAAATATCGTGGCATTAGCTAACCCGACTTCGATTATTGAGAAAACTGACAAAATTTTTCCTTATTGTCGAATAATTGCCCAAGGGGAAAAGGAGGGAAAAAAAAAAAAAAAAATTTTCCCCATCTTATCTTGCAACCCAACATCTTAAACTCACATCCCACGATTGTTTCAAACGCAACAAACAAACAAACGACAAACTCAACGAAAAAACGCAAAAAATTAACATTTAACGATGTGAGATGGTATTGTTCGATGTCTTAAGGGAAGGCTAACGATTTCATTTTCCCTTGTACTCTCGCTCTCTCTCTCTCTCTCCCCTGTAATTATATTCAACCGTCGAGACTCATCCTTGACCTAAACCTTTTCGAGGGAGGGGGAAGGGAGGGAGGATTCGAAAAAAGGGCTTCGTGACATTTAAAAAAAAAAAAAATCAACAATATTTAAGTTTACGTCATTCTTTTGTTTTCATTTTGTACGTTGGGTGTATATGACAAATTAACAACCAAATTTAATAATTTCGTCTGCTTCGAAATTGATTCGATTCACCTTTTGAATGCATATATATATATATATTGATTAAGTTCAAGATAATTTATTTTGCATTTATTTTAATTTCACGACTTAAATTTTTTTTTTTTTTTTTTTTTTTTTTTTCATACAACAACGCAAATCCACAAAAACGTGCCAACTCAACAATTTTAATGGGAGAGACTCACTCATCTCGCTTGTAGGGATTTGAAATTGTTCGAATAACGTTTTCTAACAACCCCGTGTTCGCATGCGTACAAAAACATAACAAGGTCGTCACGGAAATGCATCACTAAACAAGTCCAAACCTGAATCCACCGCGTGGATTATTCTATGTAAAAAGAAACAATCCTATTAACAAAATCATCCGCCATTCAAAAAAAAAAAAAATTCCTTAATAGGGAATACTACGCGAACGATGGCGACACGAAACGTAAAATTAGTCATAGTTTTTTTTAAGAGAAAAAAAAAATTATTTTGTTTAGTTTTAGTAAACGACCACAACCCCCCTCCCCACTCGCCGTCAGGTATCAACCTCAAGCAATAATGATGGGAGAAAAACTTCTTACCTTTCCGTTAAACAAATTGGAAAATATAGAATCGTGCATTCCGCTCGGTGAGGACAACGATGAATCCCTTCTCGTGGGATCCCACGAATTACGTCTCGATTCAAGGGAATCCGTAGAAAATTTTCGACTCAGCGATTCCTTCCTCGTGCTCCCATTTTTTTTCAATCCTCCCGAATCTTTTCTCGCGCTACCATTTCCCCGAAGATTTAAAGTCGAACCCTTCGAATCTCTTCTCAAATTTCCGCGAAGGTTTAAAGTCGAACCAGACGACGACCCGTTCGAATCCCGTCTCAAATTGCTCGTCGACAAACTTTTCGTGCTTTGACGTAAACTCGATGGAAATGACGAAGGATGTACGAGAGAATCTGGACTTTTGGCGGGAGGGAGTCCCAAACCTCCGCTGTCTTTTCTCACGAGCGGCGACGCATGGTGATAATTGTGAAGTATGTGAAGAGCGGGAGTCGATTCCCTTCTCGTTCCCATTCCCGTATTTTTTTTCCCGGCGTGTAAAACGCTTCCGACGGATCCTCTCCTTGGGCCGTAAGAATTTTTTTTCGAATCCCGACCGTGTATGTCGCATTTTTCATCGATCCTTTGTTCGATTATGACTTTTTCGAATAAACCGCTGTTTCTTTTACCGAGTGAAACTTTCGGTTTGACGTCGTCGACTTGCACTTTGGAAAAAAGTGCATCCAACCGACGAACGGCAGCCGATGAATCCGCAGCCGTCATTTCATAAATAAATTTTTTAAACAAAGAAAAACTTTCTCTTCAAAACTTTTTGTACCAGAAAAAAAAAAAAAAAAAATTACCACCGACACGAATTATTAATAAAACGTTAAAGAACAAAAAAATTTTCTTAAAAAAAAAAACGCTTTACAAAAATGTGGAGAAATAAAAAAAAAAACCAAAACTACATCGTAAAAACTCGTTGTTACATATACCCGACCGAGTAAGAGAATAAACAACAACAATAACAACAACAACAACAACTACCGCGTGTGTGTGTGTGTGTGAGTGAGTGACTCGCCCAAACAATATGGTTGTTATGGAAGTTTCGCACAGGATTTCAAGGGCAGGACCGTAGCCAAGATGATGATGATCATAATATAAAAAAAAAAACTTATTAGAAAGCCGGACAAATTTTTTTTTTTTTAAAAAAGAAAAACTCATTTGCTACTATTTGAAACACTGACCAATTTTTTTTTTTTACTACTACTACTACTACTGCTACTAGTACTTAATTAAACTTATTCGACCGGATGTAAGTAAAATGAAATTTATTAATCTTTTAATTGAGGTAGAACGTTTACGAACGAGGTAAAAGTTAAAATAAAGTAATTAAGAAGAAACCGACGACGACGACGACGATGACGTTCTTTCATCTCGCAAAAGATTTATTCATTCGGATTCTGCTTCACACACGCACACACGCACACAAAAACAGTTTTTAGTAAATCTTAAGACTCCAGTTAATTATCAATTTCTCTCTCTCTCTGTTTCGCGATTGATTAAATCTCACACGTCGCTGGAATTTTAAATTCGCATTTCCAACGGCTCTCCGTATAAGCATAAATTTAATCGCAAGCATTGAAAAATATTAATAGACTTTCCAGCGTAGGAAACCATTTTTTTAGAATTTTATTTTTCCTCCCTCCCTCACTCCCAACCCCTTTCCGGTGGGTTCCCGAATGTGTTCTCCGTCATGTAAAAAAAAAAAAACAAAACAATTAGATTCGCTTCCTTCCATTCTTCTTCTCCAAGTCATCGCATTATCGCATTCAAAACATGCATCACGTCTCTACGTTTTCCAACAAAACAAAATAATTGGGGGGAAAAAACGGTACAAAATTGGATAGCAATGATCCCGCAATATTCATGCATGCAAGACTTTAAGAGGAAAAAAAAAAAAAAAATTGGAAGACGAAAAGAACCTGAAGATCGACAAACAAAAAAATGTCTACGTGAAAAAATTATAATTGACCAAATCCTGAGATTATGACACGGATGGCAAACGTTTGTAAAAGTTCCTTTAGAAAATTTTAGTTGTTCGAACGACAACAACAACAACAACAAACAACGACTAACAAACTACAATTTTGCGTCCTCCCCGAAGTTTCCCAAAAAAAAAAAAAAAAAAAAAAAAAAAAAAAAAAGTCCCTTTGGGTGTTTTCCGTTGCGTTTGTCGGGGCAACCAACCGTGTTTTAGTACAACAACAAAAAAACATCGAATGTTAAAGTTTCCTCCCCTCCCTCCTTCTTTCCTTCTTATGAATAATTAAAACGAATTAAAAATTCCGTGTGAGGAAAAAAACCTGAGAAATGCCTCGAAAAAAAACAACAACAATAATAATAATAACGATAAGCGACAAATTCGAATCAATGAGGGGGCGGGGGGAAAAAAAAGTCAAAAATCTTAATTTACAATGACGTACGAAATCTCGTTCGTTTTAGACTCCTCCAGTTTAATATAAATCGCGTGTTCTTACTAATCGCAAATCGTTACTTCCGGTTCATTGAGCAAAAAAAAAAAAAAAAAAAAAACCTTTTTCTTGTTAATATTATTACTTAAATAGGCGACGCGAAAAACTTGATGGCAACAAAAAAAAAAAAAACATTTCTCCATAATAATTACAAAAACATGGCCTCCGGGCAAAATGTAAACGAACATAATTGGACCGTTTTCATGATGTTTTAAACCGTTTCCCTAGCAAATAAGTTCAAAGGTAGGTAAAAATAATAATAATAATAATAATAATAATAAAATTCCAGTGTCGGATTAAAGTTTACGATTTTGTTTTTTTTTTTGTTTTTAACGTCAACGATTAAATTTCTGTTGATTTTACATTAATAAATACATTTCTTTCTTTTTTTTTTTTTCTTAATAAATTAAATTTCCGATTCGTTTACCTCCCAGCGAAAAACGCCCCCCCTTCCCCCCCGTGCTCCCCGATAAAACGATTAAAAAACTTTATCACAAAATGCGTCATCGCTAATATTTTTTTTTTAATACCATAACGTCAACTTTAGAGCGTGACATTTAATGAAAATGGGCAACGTCGCAAAATCATACACTTTCTGCTGCCAAAAAAAAATTTGATTGAGGCGCTTAAAAAATTATTAGCCATATCTATCATGTAAACGATAATAATGATAATGATAAGAGGACTCGAATCTTACGTGGCAAGACAGCAACGAACCTTTTGTGTCATCCTTTTTACTGTTATCACCACCAAGGTAAAATCCAAGTTTAAATTCCAAAGCAAACAATTGTTTTGATAAGGCAAAATACGGATTATTTATTATGGATTAAGCAGACGAAAAAAAATTGATAAGAACGTTCGAGACTTCGTTTTTAACCGGAGAAAAATAAAAAGGACAAGAGCTGATAAAAAATAAAAATGATAATAATAAAAAGCCATTTTGTTTTTAGGTTAAATAATAAATTCAAGGTTCGTAGACCCTACTTGACGAGGATTACGAAAAAGAAAAAAACCTTGACGGAAAAAACCTTAAGGTTCTTTTATAGTCATATCAACGTACGAAACTAAGACTAAACGACCAAATAAGAACAGTTCGATGATGATAACCAACATGCATTTTCCCGAGTGGTTCACCCAAAAATATCCATATCTGATTTTTTTTTAAAGAAAATTTTTAGGTTAACAAACAAACAAACAAACAAACAAACAGGCAAACAAGCAAACAAATAATTAAATTATTTATTTAATGAGATGTTTTACAATTTCAAGCACGCACTAGCTGGACTAGCAGACAAACAAAACTTTCACTCCCGAGTTTCGAAAAAAAGAAAAAAAAGTACTAAAGTGCCCACACACGACATACTCGGAAAAGGATAAATGGGGGGGAGGGGAAACGAGGACGAACGCGCGTGGAATAAAAATTACGCGACGGCGAAATCAATCCTACCGGAAAGGGGGGGAGGACAGGTGAATCCGTTCGTTGGCGGGAAAACCAAATGAAACTCAATTATTTACACGTGAATCTTTTCCCCGTTCGAAATAATCCGTTCTTTCCCTCCCTTTTTCTCCCTGCTCCCCCCCCACGTTATTAAACACACGTTCGATTCGCGAGTACTACCGACATCTGACGGCATTATAACGAACTCAAATCGCAATCACATCATTTAAATCGCGATAAAACAGGTACGCATCGCGGATTGGTTATTAAATTACGTAACGTTAAAAAAGCGCGGTAAAATCGATTCGCGTTTTATTATTATTATTATTATTATTATTATTAATAATATGATTTCTAGCTTACCTTAACGACGTTGCAATGATCATCGTTTTCGTCGTAATTCGAATTTCCATTGACGGGTTGCGTTACGGGTACGGAAACCTTTGAAAAACATCCCGTTTTCGACGAAACGTAATTTTGTGATGATGATGATAATGATGAATTTTTATTAACATTTACGGCAGACGGTCTGGAACTGTTCAAAAAAAAAAAAAAAGAAAAAAGAAAATTATGAGAAAACCGAGTAGTTAAAATATTCATAAATCAACACAACGAATTTTTCAATTTCTCACGATTTTTTAAGGGCAATATCACGTAATTAATTAATTAATTTTTTTTTTTTTTCTAAGTTAATTAATGACTCCCACGTTATTCCATCACCGCCCCATTTCATCTTATTTTAAAAACGTAACAATGCGGCGAAAAAACATTTTTTGCGTTTTTAAATTTAAATTTAAATTTGACTCGTTTACTAGTCGTAAAATATGCGTAATTATATCGCAGAACCAAACAGCCATAATTAAAATTTAAAAAAAAAAAAAAAAATTTAATGTCGCCGTAAAATAAATACGACCGCGTCGTCTGCACGACATTTGTTATTAAAAAAAAAAAAAAAAAACCGAACATCTGATGCGTTTCCACGCGCACGCACACGTACACGCACTTACTTCAATGAATAATTTAAACCCATATGCAAAACAAACAAAATGAATAAAAGCCAGGGCAAAAATAACATTAGTCCTTCCTTGAGATTTATTGGAGGAAAAAAAAAACACTTGAATCGGCGAACGCGTACCTACGTTCGTTCGTTAATACAAACGAAAAACGTTACAACTTTACAGAAAATAATAAAATTTCAAATCGAAATAGAAGGGAAAAAAAATTTTCTTTTTTTTTTTTACATAATAAAAGACAATGAATGATATAAAAAAAAAAAAAAAAAAAAAAACGTAAGAAAGGTCAAACCGTTACGTACGTAACTCGTGCAGGCTCCTTTTGCAAATCAAAAGTTTTTGTTGTAGAAAATCATGGTCGAGTCACGTTCGCCATTAACCGCAAAACGAACGTATAAAGAACAATCGATTAAAAAAAAAAAAAATGTCGTTTAAATAATAATAAATAAACTTTTGTGCTTTCTCTCTCTCTCTTGCAGCCTTCCTTACGGACACAATCAATCATATTTTACAATGACATCGTGACACTGAGTGACATCGAGCCAATAGAACGCGACAACTTGTCGTAACGACAACAATAGCAAAAAAAAAAAAAAAACAAATTAAAATTTCTTTTTGTTTTTCTTCTCCTTAACGAGGTGTATTTTTTTTTTTTATAGAAAGTTTAAAGAGAACGTACTAGAAAGAAGAAGAAAAAAACCAAGAAAGAGTCTCTCTCTCTCTCTCACTTGTCGTCTGAACTCTTCTCTTGTCACAATTTTGGAATTGTTTGAAAGGAAAAAAAACCGCAAAAAAATTTCCCACGTCTCTCCAACAACTCACCCGAAAACGGTGCTTTTCCCGATGGAAGTCCAAGATCCCGTGAGCAAAGCCTGAAAATTACTCGGGCTTTGGAGACTCCAGTTTCCGTCGCCGAGTGCCACGTACTGTGACGTCACGCACCTCCTCGAATTGTTTTTACCGCCGTTTTTCGACGCACTTTTCCTGTGAACGCAACAAGTGCTCGGATCCGTTTTCACTTCCAAAACCATCGTTCTCTGTCCTCTCGAATTGTACGCGTTCGACAAACTCCTCGGAAAAATTTTAAATCCTCGTTTCGAACTGTTACTGCTACCACTATTATTATTATTATTATTGAACGGCACGAATAAATTTTTCAAGTTCGATTCGATTTTCATGTTGGGCTTCGAAAACGAATCATCGTTCGTTTCGTCTTCGTTTATCTTGGCCAAGTTGGACAAACACCTCGAGGACGATGGTCTTTTACTCGCGGCGGAAAGCGAAGATTTTTCCTTCGAAACGACGACTTTGGGTTGTTTTACGTTCGGCAGAGGTTTATCACCGTTTCCCGTTTCCGCCGCATCCGAATTGTCATTCGTCGTCAGATTCGCCATTTTTTTTTCCAGGGATTTATTTTCATCTCCGTTATTTTTTTTCATGCTCTTATCGAGCGCCATCATCGAATCCGAATTTTCGACGTTTGCGGAAGAGTAAAATTTAGTTCGGATCCTCACTGGCGGGGGAGGCACTTGCTGCGTGTTTTCATACATTCCGTTCGACATAAAAAACAATTTTTGCGATATCGATGTCAAGGCGAATCGTCACGCGGTGTCTTATTTCCAAGCTGTTGTTAATATCTTCAAGGTCATTACCGTATCCAGAAAATTTTTTTTTTCACACGACGCCAAAAATCCGTATTATTATTATTATTATTTTTCTTCTTTACCACTTTATTTACCTTTTTTAAAATAATAATAATAATAATAATATTATTTAATGAAAAATGACCCGGTATTTATTTCTCGTGTTTCCGAACCGGTCGAATAAAAAAAAACAAAAAAACAATAAATCCGATATTTTACGTAACAAACAAACACTCCTTCCTTTCGAATATTTAAACACGCGATTATTAAATGAAAAAGAAGAAAAAGAAGAAGAAAAATCAAAAGAAAAACAAACGCGCAAACGAACAAACGCGTTTCGCACAAGTTATAAAGAATACGAAATAATGACGTAAGCGAAAAAAAAAAAAAAAGGTGTTTATTACTTATTAAAACTTCTTCTTCTCTTCTTTACTGTTATTCTAATAATAATTAATAATAATAATAACAATAATAATGCTAATGACAATTTTCTAATTAAAACAACAACAACGACAACAACAATTAAAAACTTTTAATCGGTTTTAACAAATGAAAAAATTTGTTACATTTTTTTTTTATGACGTCATAATCAACCAAGTGTATCAAAGAATGATCGAAATCGAACCGAGATTTCAAATAACGAGAAATTGGAAAGAAAAAATAAATAAATAAATAAATTATTTTTTTTCCTCCAGCGAGAATAAAAAAAAAAAAAAAAACCAAAATCCAAATCGAGAACGATATTTTTTCTTGACGTGGAACGACGACAACAACAACAACAACAACAACAACAACAACAACAATCCTCACGTAAGTATCACGCTCTCGAATCCCCTCGAATCCATGAGAGAGATCATTTCTTCGTTCTAATTCCACGAAATCGAAAAAATATATAACGTTTCAAAAAAACACAAACACACACAAACGTCACGGCGTGTGGTATTTCACAACTGAACACAATCGCGCGTAAAACGCAAAAAAAAAAAACGTTCGCGATTTTCACTTTTTCTTCTTCTTCTTCCTTTCCTCTCTTCCTCTCTTCTTCCTCTTCTTCTTCTCTCTCTCTCTTTTTTTTTAAATTGTTTAACTATTTAACAAATTCGTTTGTGTTCAATCAAAATTACTTATAACATACTTACAAAAAATTTAACTTTCTACGTTAGATTTTCGTTTGGTTCATCATCGTTATTATTATTATTATTATTATTATTATGGTAATCATCACCGTCTCAATTATCATTACCGTCTTCATCCTTTCTCACTACCACCACCACCACAACCGGCACCATCGATGAGATGTGAAATTAAAAGTAATTTAATTTAAACTAAAAATCACATATCGAACCCAACACAACCAGCGTTTGAATTGAAACAAACAACAAACAAACAAACAAACAAACCAACGGAAACGTCCAACAACAATTGGTTGGATTCAAACAAACGACGACCACAATCTCAAAAAAAAATTTTTTTGACCGGTTTATTCTTCTAATAAGTTCGTGTCGCGCAAAATTTATCCGTATTCTGGTTCCACGACGATGATGTTTCCGCAACGCGAGCTCGGATGAATGAACACACACACACAATTTTTTAGTATCGTATCGCGATCACAAACGATTTCGATATAATCGCAGCATCATTTTCGATTATTGCTAATAATAATCGAATAAATTGTGTAAAATTATTACGTTGATTGACGTCCAACGATCGACACTCGAAGCGTACAAAAAAAAAAAATTTTTTTTTTTTTAAATTGTCCATTAATAAAATGCGACGGAATTTTGTGCCGTGACAAAGAAAAAACTCGGACTGTCACGTTTCCCCTACTCTCACACCTCGACAATGACCAACAACAATCAACTCGACATATTTCTTACAAACGGATATTTTTTTTGCAAATTATTTCCGCTTGAAAAAATCCTGTACCACCCCACCTTCGTATCGCCTTATTATCGTGACACACACACACACACACACAAACTGTCGGAAGAAGTATCACCAAAGATGTCGAAACGTTTTTTCTCACAATAATTGAAAAGCGATCGCCATTTTAAAAATGTCCACGCGGCACTCCCTCCTCCTTATTACTCTTGAATTGTCATCGTTTTTTTTTTTTTTTTTTTAACATTTCAATTATTATTATTATTATTGACGTTTCGTTCTTTCATTTCCTTTCGTTTAAACGCTTCGGTTTTCCAATACCTTTTTATTATTATTATTATTATTATTATTATTATTATGCAACAAAATAAATTTTAAAACCACTCGCCGACATCTCTCGCCGTCACAAAAAAAAAAAAAGTAAAAATTAGTTTTCCTTTTGTTCAATTTTCTCATTGACCTTGACACCTGATTGCGTGACGGAAGGAAAACTAAATCGATATGAAAACAATTAAAAAAAAAAAAAAATGAACTCAAATGAAAAAATATAAACTTTTGACACGACTAAACTTTTGACCCTTTTTTGATTGATTGATTCCACGTTTTTTTTTTTTTTTTTTTTTTTTTTCGTTAAAATTCGCTACCATTTTTTTTCTCTTTCTTTCTTTTTATTCCCGAGTTTTTTTTTTTTTTTTTGGTCGCGTTCGGTTTTTTTTCCTGCTCCACGATTTTAACGCGCGACGAGGACAACGTGTGGTGGTTATCACGGCTCGAAACGGGTTAAACTTTCAAACTCTCGTAAGGAAAAAAAAAAATTCATTCGCACGAGTATCCACTTAAACAACCATTTCAAAAATCGAAAATAATAATAATAATAATTGTCGAACGTGTCACGCAAAATTCGTTTCACACCGCATTTTACTCCTCGCAAAACTTCAAAAAAAAAAAAAAAACGCAATTACAACAAAATAATGATGATGATGATGATGACGACTCTAACTGTATTTTTCCATTACAAAAAGTGCAAATTCCAAAATAAAGCCGCGAGCAATTTTCTTCTTTTCCTTTTTAGGTAAAAAATTTTCCTAATTAATTAGTGTCAAAGAGTAATTTTATTTAATTTTTAACGATTTGAAATCAACCGACCAATCAATCAATCAATCAATCAATCAATCACAAATATTACTTCTTCTAGAAGGAAACGAAAGGAAAGAACGAAACCTTCACCACGAATCCTTCTTCGCATAAGAGGAAAAAAAAAAAAATGACGCGCATAAAATCTTCTTAATCCATGTTACTCCTCCGCGACAAATAAATAAATAAATAAAAACAATTGGATCTATTTTTTAATAAGTGACGTCATCAAACGAATCATCATTATCATCATCGTTTTTTTTTCTTCTTTCATTCGACGACTGGCTGGAATCACAACAATTTTGTATCATTTATTATGCCATTATCACGACCGTATCGATCGGTTATCGATTTGTTTTGCACGACGAATTTTTCCCTATTAAATAATAATAATAATAATAATAATAATAATAATAATAATAATAATAATAATGCAATTCTCAACGATTCGACCGTACCCGAAAAGTGGCGGGGGGAGGGGGGAGAATTTCAAACTGGAAATTATCATCGTGATAATCCGTAATCGCAATTTAATGGCAGAAAGAAAAAAAAATTATTTGATACCCAAATAACTTATCGATTATTAATTAATTAATTAATTAAAAATAATTAAGGTACGTTATCAGTAACCTGTACCTGTACAGTAAACCTGTTTTATCATGTCTTTATCATCAAAGCCTACCATGGGATTTCGCGTGGCAAAAAGAAAACAATATTCCCTCCCTTCCCATCATCGCCTTTTCTTTATCACACAAGAATGGAATACAAACAAACAAACAAACAAACAAACAAACAAAAGAAAATAAGTGATGAAAATAATAATAATAGTAATAATAATAATAGTAACAACAAGTTGACCTTTTCTTTTTCCCACGGTGACCGTTGCCGTTTTTTTTTTTTTTTTTTTATTTGTTTTTTACTCGAACGTAAAAAGAAAAAGTTGAACATTGTCGTCGTCGTGAACTGAACAACAACAACCACAACAACAACAACACGGAGAGATTTTTTACGACCGACAAACGATTGTCCGAAACATTCTTTCTCTCTCTATTATTTATGACTTTTTTTTTTTATTCCTTGGAAATTTTTTATTTAAAAAAAAAAAAAAAAATCAAAGACTACTACTACTACGGTGTTGAAAAAGGTGAGTTTCTGAGGGTTAAAGGTCACCGCTAACGCGCTGCTGCTGCCACTACTACTACCGCCAACAAATCATTATTAAATTGTTAACACAACATTATAATTACCTACGGTATAATTATTTCCCTGCTCTTTACTCAACGTGTTTCTTTCTCATCAAACAAACAAACAAACAAAAAAAAATTTTAATTACGCTACACGTCGACGGCATGATTTTCAACAGGTAATCATTATCAACCACAAACCGAGATATTAACTGGGGGGGAGGGGAGGAACCCCCCGAGAAAAATAAAAATAAAGCGGTAAAGGCACAAAATTTCCCTTCGGTTATATCGTTTAAATGGGAAAATATTTACAAGGCATGGAAAACCGTTTTTTTTTTTTAAATCGTTTAAAAGAGTTTTAAATTGTGTGTGTGTTAAAGACGTTTTGACGTGGTTTTAATTTTAAAAAAAGCGCCATCTAAGTTTTGAAACTAAATAAACTTGATTTAGTTAGAATCAACGCCACCTGTAGCAGCACCGAACATTTTTCACAAACTCTCAGAGATCGTATTAAATAATTTCACATTTTACATTAACTTTTACGACAATCGAAAACGAAAGATTACAAAAGCAGAAGACGTCACACGACGACAACGTCACACAAAAAAATTGTTAAGCGTAATTTTTTAAACTTACCATTCTTCGAACTGCCCTCCGGAATCCGACATTTGCCTAATGAGTTCCTCTCTCTGTTTTCCTTTTGCAATTAACGTTTCTTGAAATTTTTGCTTTTGTTTTTGATATTCCTTCATGAGATCACCGTCTCGACTATTGTTCGCGTCGCCGGATCCGTTACCGTTGACCATGTGATTTTGAGGTTGAACGGAAGGTGGATATTGTCTTTCGACTAAAGAATCTCTCCTGGAAGACCTAGCCATCGACGTTGGACTGTCTCTGCCTTTTGGATCGGGCGAAGACGCCGTGGTGCTCACGTTGGAACCCTTTTTCGAATCCGGACTTTTCGATTGTTTTCTACAGGGAATATTTATCGCTTTGGGAGTGCTCGTTTCGACGACGGATGTGGCGGGTTGAAAATCCGCATACGTCGTGCTTAGGAAAACTTCGTCGTTGTTGTTTTCGAAAAGTCTGTCGACGCTCGTGTTCATTAATTTATTACTTTTAAAACCGGTCAAGTGAAAACTAGCAAACGAACTCCTCGACATGTGAGGATTCAATTCGCTCGTGGACAATGCCATGAGGAGAGGGCTTCCGTTTTGAACGAGACCGAGGCCCGAGCCCAAACCTTCGAAAGCGGGTAGTAAAGAGCGAGACATGACATCCGCGGCGCTTTTGGGTCTCGTGAAAGGCATCGCGGAATGTGGAAACATTTTGGGTTTGATCGGAGTCACCAACATGTGCTCCGTCCACGAAGTTTCTAACGTTGGCTTTTCCAATTTTTCAACGTCCACGTTTAACGTCCTTTGTTCGAAAGGTATTGAAAACGTATCAGGGGGCACGCACTGCAACCACGATATCAAACTCAAATCGGAATCACCCAAACCCACGTTTCCATCTAATATCCGCGTGAAATTAAGTTGATCGTATGCGGAATCCGTCATTTCGGTTGCCTTCGACTGACAATAATTGACACAACTCTCGTACAAAATCCCTTTTATAACTAATTGTATGAGCCGATCGTTTTTAGAAAATGTGCATCCGGATTCGGGATTCACTCTCTTATCGTTCGGTAAAAACTTTTCAACAATGGGCAATATCTCCCAGAAACATTGAACGCGAGCGTGACTCGGATTCCAGTCTTTATACGACAAATGATCGTTTAATCTCGGCAAAGTCAACAACAAACACAAATGAGAATATTCTTCTTTCGACGGCACGACTTTTTCCAATTCCCGCAAAACTTTAACAACTTCTTCGACGGCGTTGTCGACGTTGTTACCGAGACCGGACAATATCGTGGCCTCGGATTTTATGCACAGCAATTCTTCGTATTTTCTCCGCAAAACGTAGTATTTGAATTTTTTCATGTCGAACGCTGGAAGAGTTTCCAACGGTTGAATGAATTCCAACACGTCGTCCCATTGACCGTCGAGTATGAGCTGACGTAGGAATAAAACGTCGTCGGAATAACTTCCGTTTATGACTCCGGTTTCCCTTTCGAGACTCAGCTGAGATATGTGCATATCCCTGTTGTGGAGAAACTCCAGAACGAGTCGCACCACGTCCTCTTCCTTTAGCGTTAAATGCGCCGACGGCATCACACTTAATTTCGCCCACAATCTATACAAACAAACAAACAAACAGAAAAAAATGATGAGAGAGAGAGAGAGAGAGAGAGAGAGGCGTCTTCTCGACTAATTTAAATTTACATTGAAGCCCGCGTTTTTTTTTTTTTTGAACGGAAATAGAAAAAAATATTAAAAAGGTATATTTGCATCGTAACGTGGTTAAGAAAATATATTTTCCTACTTTTTTCTTCTGCTATTTAAAATAATAATAATAACACTTGACGTAACGTGACAAACAAACGAAAATAAATTTCTATGCGTGTCGCGTCGTCAAACAAAAACGCCCCGAACGTTGAAAAACAAAAAAAAAAAAAAAAAAAAAAAATTAAATTGCGATTGTTTTCGTTATCAATTTATTATTATTATTATTATCAAAATCACGTTTGTTATTATTACAAAAAAAAAAAAAAAAAAAAAAAAACTCGACAACGCGTTCACGAGAACGTCAAGACACGAAAATAATCATCATTGAGCGAATGCTTTCGATTCACGCAGCAAAAACTATTCGAACGCAAACACCCAAAAAAATTCAAGGGAAAATGATGACAATTAAACTGTTCACGAATTTTCATTTTAAACCTAAAACCAAAAAACCTTTTTCCCAATGACGTCATTTTGTTTTTAATAAGTTATGATATCTTGGCAAAGATAAAAAATAATTGCACGACGATGAAGTTTTAAAAGGTTTTTTTTTTTATTTATTATATTCGATTCCGTCACGAAATCATTTTTCTTTTTTTTTTTTTTTTTTTTTATTGAAAGTAAATTATTAATGTTCAGTTCATTATGGTCGTTTGTTGCAGAATTCTTTTTATAGTCGTTTGTTGTTCCATCCATCATCTCAGAGTTTGGAAAAAATACAAACACAAACAACGAACGAAACGAAAAACAAAAAAATTTTTTTTTTTTGGCAAAAGATTTTTCCCGGAAACGATTTCGGAAATACGGGAAGGAGGGAGGAGGGAGGGTGAGGGGTAAAAAGGTTTTTCATTCTTTTCGACCCCATTTAAAATCTTAATTATTACTTCCTTTCATTTCTTCTCCATTTACAATAAAAACCTCTTGAAACTTTCCTTTTTTTTTTTTTTTAACCCCAATTTTCTCCATTCCTTTGAAACAAAACAAAAGCAGACGGTAAGTGATAATGATAATACGTACGTATGTAAAATTACATAGATGCTTTCATTTTGTAAAGTGAAAAACAATAATAATAATAATAAATAATAAATTACTCCGAGTGCGAACACGCGATGATAACTATACAATTAATAATAACTACTACTACAACTTCAATTGTTTCCTTTTAAAATATTCCCTAGTATTATTATCATCGTCTTCGTCATCATCATCATCATTATTTATTATTATTATTATTATTATTATCATTTTTTTTCCAATAAAAACGTCGACGTGTAAAAATATTCGCATTTTATTATTTTTGTCGAAATCGTTTTACCTAACGCGCGATCCATTCTCCGTCCTTTCGTCCGTCTGTCAAACTCGTTTCGGTGTATTATTATTATTATCATCATCATAATAATCATAATCATTATTATTATTATTATAAAACCGTGACCGTGATCAATCACCTTCGTCATCAATTAACTATCCTTCGAAAAAAAAAAAAACAAAAAAAAAATTCCGACTCGAATTTCATTTGTAAACGATGGTGACGAAACTGCGGCAATTAAAAAAAAAAAAACACAGAAAATAATAATAATAATAATGATAATGATAATAATTATAATGATAATAATAATAATGGGTAATTGACATGTAATTCAGACAATTAAAATCTCATTAACGATATTCGATAATAAAGAAAAAAAAAAATTATGTCGAATCGCCAAATCGAAACAAACTCGCACTTCGCTCGCACCTTACTTCTACCACGACGAAGGTTGCTCTGCGAAAAAAATAAAACTTTCGCAAAAAATAAACCGGAAGTTACATAAAGGTCGAATCGAAACAGACTGAAAAACCCTGGAGGCAAATCGCAACCCGTTTCCAAAAAAAAAAAAAAAAAAAAAAAAAAAAAAAAACTTTTCCCTTAAAAAAAAAAAAAAAAAAACGAAGTAATAATAAGTGAAAGAAAGAAAACTTCATCATCGTCGACTGACTACGTTCCTTCCAGTGCGAATCTCATTACCGAATACGTGCATTAAAATCCAAATTATCATCATCATCATCATCATCATCTTTTCTCTTTCCAGGTTTTTCTTCTTCCATCAATTTTTTTCATTTATTTATATTTCGTTGAATAATCATCATCATCATCATCATTTTTACTCTCTTTCTCTGAGATTTTCTGGTGAGAAATCGTTTGTTCCCCGTTTCTTTGTTTTTTTTAAAAAAATTTATTTCTATCATTTCACGTACGGCATTTTTCTTCTTCTTCTTTTCTTTCGTTCTTTCCTACATTTTTTCTCTCTTTCTAATCTTTTTTTTTTTTTCCATTTTTTTTCTTCTTGTTGACATAGCAAATTCGTTCGTTCGAAAGAAAATGTTGTTCCTTTTGTATTAATTTTTTTATTATTCGATCAAAACCGAAATAAACAAAATCGTAATGATTTTCATTTATTGTCATTATTATTATCATTATCATTATTATCATTATTACTATTTTTTTAAAAAAAATTATTAAAAAACAAAAAAAAAAACTTGTTTTAGGAATGGATAACAACAAGTTTTGTTGCATTTATATTTATTATTTATTTATTTATTGGAAAAAACCGATCGAAACAACGAGTTTTTGTTTTATAATTTAAAAAAAAAAATTAATTTCGAGTAAATAAACGGTTACGAAAAAAAAAAAAAAAAAAACGTGGAATTAACGGAAAAGCAATTCACGCAAACCAATATATCACTGCTTCCACGAGTAAATTTCAAAATTTTGAGCGCGTTTTTGCAAAACACAAAACACGTTTACACAAAAAAAAGGTAATTTCGAATGATTCGTTTCAATAACTTTACTACACAATTTTTCCCTTCAACCCCTTTCGGCGGGGAAGGGGGAGGAATTAAAGTTAGAGAGCTTCTTTATGCAGACGAACAAATAACAATAATAATAACAAGTTATAAAAAAAAAAAAAACTAATAAATAAGTAAATAGAGAACGCCCCAAAACAAGGTTTATGATTACAAAAATTAAAAAAAAAAAAAAAAGTCGTTTAAGTAGTTTTTAGAAAAAAAATTTTTTTTTTTTTCGGTTTCACAGAAACGAAAAGAAATCACACATGTGATACACGCACACGCACACTCGCACACATGCACGCACACGCGCAAATAAAAAATTATACACGATCATCATCATCATCATCATCATCATAAAAAAAAAAAAAAACATTTTGTGAATTTTGAAAATCTCATCGTCAATTAAAAATTTATTCGAATAAAAATTTTTATTGGAAATTTTAAACTAGTTTTCCCCTCTCATCACCCTCCCCCTTCCCCTCCCCCGCTTCTCCCTCTCGCTCTCCTAGTTTTTTAAACTTTTCACGATTCTATTTAGTATTCCAAAAGAAGAAGAAAAAAAAAGAAGGTGGAGAGGAAGAGGAAAGATGCATTGCTTTTTAAGAAGATGAAGAAGAAAAAAAAAAAAAGGAAAAAAATGAACGATAAGGAAAAAGACGTCAGAGAGAAAGAGAGAAAGAAAAGGGGTGGGGGGGTGGGGGGAAAGAAAAATGTTACGACACGAAAAAAAAAAAAACCGATCCCTGGAGAAAAAAAAAAGTCAAAATTTCATTTTTATTTATTTATTTATTTTTTCCTTACCAAAAAAAAAAAAAAGAAAAATGCCATAAATTTTTCGACGTTGCCACATCTAATTTTATCCCATTTTTCTCACAAAATCGTAATTAACTTTAACGGAAAACTTTTTAAAAATCCCCCCCCACCTTCCATTCCCCCTCGAAAAAAAAACTATTTTTCATTATGTTAAAACTTACTTTCCGAACATTTCCCGAAATTAACCCCGAAATTCAATTTTTTTTTTTTGTTCGTTTTGTTCTAGAAAAAAATTCGTCACTCTCTGTTAAATCAACCAATCAAATTAAAAAATTTACAAATAAATAAAGAAAAACGATATCCGATTTTTTTTCCCTCTTTTAAATATTATTTTTTGCGAGAAACAATAGTTATAAAAAAATTTAAAAAATCAGCAAAAACAAAACAAAACAAAAGAGGAGGTAAACCCCCCCCCCTCACATACCTGGATTCCTTTAATTTGAAAACTTTTATGCAATCGACAACAACAACAACACAAATAACAATTAGTAATACATATTTATACACAAATAATAAAAAAAAAACAATTAAAGTCATAATTTTTTTTTTTGAAATCCACGCGAAGCGTTATTCCAGAAACTTCTTCTCCCTTTCCCTCCTCCCCCCTCTCATTTTTTTTTTTTTTTTTTTAAAATGAAAATCGACATTAAAACAAATAAAAACTTTTCTTTTTTTTTTATTATCTTTTTCCGTTTTTTAGTATGCGAAACGATAAAAAAACATTTCAGATATTCCCGAGGGAGGGAATCGCGTTTTCAATTAATAAATATTCCCGGAATATCAATTTAAAATTTGATTAATTATCCATTTATTAGTGGAAAAAATAATAATAATAATTATTTGGAAATCTAAACTCGGAAAACTAATCATAATTATTATTATTATTATTATTTTTAACCGAAACCTAGTTTTGGTAATTAAAAAAAAAAAAAAAAAAACGCAAAAATAAAAATTTATTACGTAAATGGTTACGTCGTTTCCTGTCGGAAAACCCCAAAAAAAAAAAATTGAAACTAAAAGTATTCGAATCGTCTCGCCAGAGAGAGAGAAAGAGAGAGAGAGGACAAAACAAACAAATAAACAACAAACGAAGGTCGTGCGTCAGACGCAATCCGTTTGACAAGTAAAAACCTGAGCGAAAAAGTTTTCCGGAAAATCCGCAAAATTTTTAAATCCCTCATTCG